ATAATTCACACAGGTTATTGTGGTACAGCACGCAGCTCACTGGGGTTGATGCCAACTCATTGGAATGAGATTGGATCGCAAGCACTTGAACAAGGTGTCACCAAATATTGTCTGGCGGAGGTGGTTCTACGCTCACGGGCGACCGTTTTGTCCATAGAAGGTGAGTGTCAAATGAGCTTAAGGATACACCACATTCATACCTACCGAAACATCATCGATGTTACGCCCCCACCAAGATGTTGTATACCATCTAGTCCCACCATGATTATGACATCTCAAAGTGAAGGCAGAGGATAATCTATTTATCAACTTTCTCTAGCCTCCCATACAAATGAAGAAGTCTTGAACACCCTTCTGCGAGGTTGCAGCTCACATTTTATGCCACGGACAACCGCACAACCGCTGATGCAATGCTGGTTTACATATCTTGTTAAGGCACTCACGATGTCACCTTGAGTGGTACTGAAATGTTTGCAAACTCAGAAAACAAGCCAATGACAACATACAATCCTCATTAGGAAGAGTGTTTTCTTGGCGTTTTTGAGAACACAATCAATTCATTAAACTCATCTCTTTATCTAGGGATCAAAGGTCGATTGGATAGAGATTTGATCAACAACACTCCCTGATTATGTATTTGCTGAAGAGACACTGGGTCTTTTTTAGTTTCAATGGAGATTTTGTTTTGTCTGTAAAGCCAACCTATTCTGAGAAATCAAGAAGCACCGTACATGACGCTTCTCAAACTTCAGTCAACAAAACCACATCATTTGTCGCATATTGACTGGCTCCTCTGGTTAATAATTTTAGAAAGACGTTAAACTCTCTTGAGAACTTGTTTTTTGACTGAGCTACTGATTGTCTGAAGGAGTAAAATTTCTTCTGAGAAATATTCACTTTTTATGATTTACGGATGAGTAAAGCAATTCTTCGTCTTAGTGAGGGCTTGTCACATCGATTTCTAGAGGACTTAATTAGATTAAATGCTTCGAGGGTAACGTACACTGTGTTCTAGTTTATCTCGAAAAATAAGAAGATTCCAGTTCTCACATTTTTATCGAATATGATTTTTAAAGCTGTATGATCGTACATGTATACATTATTTCAGACGTCCTGTTTCTTTTACATTTAAAGTGGTGTATTCGTACTTCGGGACAGAGCTAGTAAACTGAGACTTCCGATTTATGCATACGAGCTCATATTAAAATACAAGGGTTCACAGTTTGTTCTTCTTTAATTTGAAGAAATAATTCAGCTGGTTTGAATGGGTCTCATCTCCATTTTACGCGGAATAACTGTGACCGTGTGTTAAGGAAACATAACCAAGTATCCATATGAACGATCTAGAGGAAAATTAGAGGGGAAGCAATAAGTGCGTTGTGCAACAGGGAGTAAAAATTCCCATTGGCGTATGCATACAATATGTCCTGCAATATATTTTACAATATATTCTCACAGTGTCGATTGGACGAACGTTTAGTGGTTCAGGAACTAGAAAGGACGCTTCTTTCGATGCAACCAGCTAAGGATTTCTAAGAAGAAAGAACAACTTCCCAGCACTTTTCAGAAGTTCGGCGTAGATTGGATTCACTTACAGGACGAAATCTCAACTGTGGATTTCCGAATTACCCCACTCTACGAACAAAGGAAAAGATGTTTGACCCGGCAAACATTTCAACGAAGACTATCAAGGGACCATCTTCCACAGCAACGCAGATGATTTCGCTACACACAGATTGCAGTGGGACTATATGCGTAGTAGTGCCTGCAAACAAGTGCGTTCACAGTTCAGTTTCAACTGGTGTGTCAGCACACCGAAAGCATAAAGCTGTATTGTTTGTTAGATAGCACAAAATTCTGTCCAATATACACTCGATTTTCCTACTGATCCCATGGGCTTGGGTAAATAGAGTGAAATTGTGGTATCCATCTTACCACAGTATACGTGATTTTACATGGAATAGTACACTGATTTACAAACTATTTCAGAGTGACCGTGAGAATCCCCTGAAATCAAGCCAAAATCTTTGTGCGTGATTTTTCAAACTGAAAGCGTTGCATAATCGTTTCTATCACTCGCCCTAATTACAGCAGACTCCGTTTTTCCTAGATTCGTCAAAGTATGTGCACAAATGCCAGCTTCAACGCAGGAAGTGACTTCGATTCTTAAAGGATGATCTGACGTTCGGATTATTTACCAACGCACATTATATCGTGTGCCGGTAAATGTTGTGGAGAAGATGCAGAGTTTACAAAATAACCATGCTGAATTCGGCCGTCAATTTTTTCAACAACTTAGGGTGACGCAGGCTTCCCATTAAACCCAGCAAAATCGATGTGTAATTTGTTCGATAATGTGCTTCTTGAGTTCACGTCTGTAGCAGTCACGTGCGCGAACACCATAGCGTTGATCTCCACGAAATTGCTGGCTGGTAAAACTGCTTGGGTTTATTTCTCGCAGGCAGCAAAGTGATCCAGCATGATGCTGAGCAGTTGTCAGGTTTTTTCCTTGAAACTTTGAATTTCACGTCTGTCCAGATTCCGGTGACTATTCCATGACTGGTTCCGGCGGATATAAGGTCCGCCTCATGGCGTAGGAAACTAATTATTCCAACTTACCAAATTCTCATCGCAGAGCCGATTCGCGTGCATCTTGGAAGTGTTAGTGGGTTTTTCTATCTATTTCAGTTGCAGGCCGATAATAGGTACTACTTCGTGTAATCATATTTTTAATGGCTGTTGTCAGCGGTCAAATTAAGCGTCTTAAAAGACAAATTAATTTATCGCCTCACGCTGAGAAATAAATAGTGATTTAAACTCAGCACACTTCCGTTTAGACTCCGGCTTCCAGCGTCCGTAACAGAAAAACTATTTTGGAGACAAGTGTAAAACATTTATTGGGTTTTGGTGTGATTCCTGTACTAGATAATTCTTCTGTGTTTCTAATAATGAAGTCTAAACGCGTAGAAGTAGGGACCCGGACATCTTGGTTAGTGGGGTTGGACAATACTCCTTGAGATATCTTGAGCTATCTCAGGGTCTCGGCTTAAAGAAAGAAAAAAAAGCACGCACCCCGTAGATTTCCATGGGCGAAACTACAAACTGTAGCAAAATGCTTTGAGGATTCGCCGAGAATGTGTAGTTTACTAGCTTAAGCGGCACATGTTTGGTATGAAACATATAAACGGCTGACACGGTGTATCCAGAGACATGAGATCCGCTGTTTCGTTTAACTGAAACTTTGTCCCATAATTTATACTGCACACAAATTTGCACAAAGAAGTTAGCACGAGGAAGTTTTATTGCGCAAACAAACTGCATTCAAGAGCTCTAGATATTTATTCAACTTGGGTACACAAGAGGTGGTAGTTGGGCGTTTCCGTTGTAACCTGAAAACAGGAAAGGAGATTCATGTTCATTCACTTGTGGTGGAAAATTAATAAAACTACAGAAATTGTACTTGGTAAAAATGTATTTTTGTCACGCATAATAAAATTCCGTAATTTTATGGTAATTAATGCTGTACTCGGTGATTTTTTGCCGGTATGTACTTAGAGATAATAACGCACATGAGACGACCCATCCTAAATAATGTCCAGATTACTGCTCATTTGAATGGTCTGTTGTCAGTGTAGCTCTCACGAAGATCATTGCCTCGTTCCCTTACATTGCAAGCAAATCCCAGTTGATCAGTTCTTTGGTTAATGGAATTAGAGATGCATGCGATGGCAATTCGTCGTCCTGCAACATAAGTGGCAATGCTCCAGAGGGCACTGATTCGATGTCCAGATACAACTCCGCGCTAAAGTTCACACCATGTACAATCTGATGACAGGCTCGAATATTCTGATTAGGATAAAAAATATGACTCCAGACGTGTGACTCGTACTGGCGTAAAAAACAAGGTTGGCAACCCGGCTGGCAAAAAAAGGCAAAAGCGAATCAACACATTCAAAAGGAGCAACGATCAGTCATACTATTGTGGCGCTTATATATGTATGTTTCACTTCATTTAGTCACGCGCTTGACAGGAACGGTAGCGCACAAATTTGGAAGACTGGCAACCTCGTTCTAATCATTTGTTTCAGGCGTCCCTACTCGGATAAATTATAATATGCTCAGTAAATCATTAACAATATGTATTGGGTAGGAGGTGCCAAAAAAATTGGACCTAATGGCATCGAAGCCACGTTGCTTTTTATTTGAATTTTACAGGAGTACAACGTAAAAATTTTGGTGAACTGAAACTGGTAACTGCCACTAGCGCATCTTTCAGTCTCTTTGAGTTTAAGACATCACAGCTTCTAAGCAATTTCCGCCTGTGGATTTTAGCTCAACCTTAAAGGAAAGCAAGTAAAAATAAAGGAGAAAAGCACAACATCCAAGAACATAAACCCCAAAAATTAATGTCACGCGTTTGAGGACATAAACGGCAACATAATGTTTGCGTGATGCAGAAATATAGGACAATTATGAGGCTGAGTTTAATTCAGACACGTCCCACGGTGTTTGGTGGGTTGTGAATTTGGTTTAATCTAATCTCCAAAAGAATTTCCTCTTTTAAAAATGGCATCTAGCGTTAAACATTTTATCTCAGCTGTCTTATATGTATCCTGGTAGGCAGAACCGTTGATCCACCACTAGGATTTATTCCGCTCCGAAACAACCCACTGATGATGCCACATCGACAGATGATGGAACGTTCATCGCGAAATCGCGCAGCTCTGAAAAAATCTAAGGATCGGTTTCAAGCGTGTGCCACGCTACCTGACTGGGAAGTCCTGACTAGTGTATCGGTCGATCGTCACAACCAGGACAGTTACTGGGTCGTCGTTCGATGAATCAGGCACACCAATCACATCGCTCAAGTGTGAACACGTTTCGCCTGCTCAGATGTGATAATTCAGATGCGTCCAACGTGCGTGGGTGGAGTAGTGGTTACACGCTCGCCTCTCACGTCAGATGTCCGGGGTTCAAATCCCGGCACGGCCATTGGAAATGCACTGCTGATGAAATCTAATAAGAGCGAAGCTCGACTCCCAATGCTTCCGGTGGTGTTGACTCACTGGAATAATTACGCTAGAACGGGGACACCACCGTTCCAGCGAGAGTGGTGTGGCTATGAACAAAAACCTATCCCGCAAAACCCCGAAATTGCGGTCGTATGGAAACTTGCAAGAATGAGGCAGCAAGACGATCTAGTGAGCATATATCCGTCCTCGGTGCTCTCAGGTGTCGAGGTGACTTTATTCCACCTATTCCGGAGGTGATCATTCGTCTCCTGAATTATTCTCACAGCTAATCACATGCGTTAGTATATCTACACTTGGTGTATTACATTATTTTCGGCTGAGCTCTACTCACTGCATCCACTTTTAATGAGTTTAGGATCTAGGTTTTAATGATTACATAACGCACATTCAACTCACCTGCTGTGACATCATCAACTTAATTTCCCATTATTTTGCTTTCTCAATAGTTTCGTCGTTGAGGCATTTATGGGAGACTATTCCAGTGTAACCTTTTGTTAAAAAAAATCTTGCCAATTTTTCGAACCTGGTAGACAGACCTTGACAAGATTAGAGGCAAAACCAAGTTTATGTTCGTACGAACTTACCGTAGTTTTGGTTATAATATGGGTAGGGGTTATTGTAGCCTCCTGAAAGTAAGCGTTTCACATGTTATTTACCATTTGTGCATGCTAATGCCTGCTCCATTGGAACTTCACGTTAGTATCTCTAGTTCAAGGTTCACTGCGAAATCACCTCCAATGTTTAGCAATGTCTCAAATAATCAGTGGTTACTAGGATAGTGTGACAGTTTTGTTTGAAACAGTCATGAGAAAATTCCGAATGAGGCTAAATCCAAAAAGCGCGACCAAGATTTCCAGTAAAACCCAGGCTGTCACCAAAAATCAAACTAATGTTTTTATGCTGTTTTTCAAGATAATATTACCACAAATGACGTATCAGATGCTGCAAATGAGATCATCCTGTGGATGCGGCGTTAAATAAGTAGATGGAGCCGAATGTATTCTACGCCGAAGGATCTACATTTTGGAAAAGTAGAGTTGAGTAGGTTCTTGCTCATAAGCAGTGAACACCTCATCCATCGAGAGAGGAATAGGAACCCGAACGTGAATAGGTCGTTTAATATTCTGTTGAGTTATACGAACAAGATTAGCCCTACTTCCACTAAGACATTACTCATCAAACTGCTGTGAATTGCTCTATCCATTAGATGACAGTAGTATATTTTGGCTTACCTCCGAAATAGATTTTCCTCTGAGTCTTTCAGGTACGTTTGCTTAAAAGGTATTTCTTCTTCCGCGAATATACACTCATTTAAAAACTAATTGGTTTTTCGAGAGACTCACCTAGAACCCAGTTGAATCTCTCGTTTGGGATGTTCTCACGCAACTGAATGTGCTGCACCACGTGGGTTGCAGGTAAGTATCTCGAAAAACCAAATTAGTTTGCAAATGAGTGTATATTCTCTAATTTCATGAGATTCGGTTTCAAGTAGAACAGGTTGGCGGAAACCCGGGGACTGCGCCTACCTGATGAGCCCCAAGAATGGCAAAACCGGTCGTGGGCTGTCGACGGATTATCAGCAACCTTATGAGTAGTACATTACATAGGTGTACTTCTTTGTTCTAAGTCACATGATCTGAGTAGTCGATGTGTGAATATTCCCTTTTCTGTTTGCAGTCCTTAGATAAAGGATAATCAAGACTCAATATCCACCAAGCTAGCCAGTTGCGTGGATGTTTATCGAATGTATGAGTCAGGTTGAAATACATAAGACACCCACTTCATTAGGGAAATAATTGGTATAAGTAGTCGTCTCTCCCGAGCCTCCGCAATTAGCGAACGTTATCCGGTTGGTAAACAGATATCTTGACATTGTCCACGGGACACATTCATGTTGACCTAATCCCATCTAAAACTGTGCTTCATTTTTAAAAGCCCATCTGTCTATTGGAGGTCTGCTCCCAACTTACGCGCGTTGTCTTCAAAAATATTTAGATAATGTACAATATTGTCTTTTGATTTGACAACACTTTTCCTCGTGAAACCTTTAGACTTGAAGAGATTATGGCAACAGTTTTACTTTCGGCACGGTGTTTAATTGCGTCACACCACCCTCCGTCATGGAGACGGATATGTAATGAGCTGTCAGTTGGGTGGTAAAATTTTTCTGATCAGGTTAGGACGTGACGTTTTCAAAACTGATCTTGCCAGAGTACCGTGCCATGTCGTTCGATTAGTGAATAATTTACATTCCGTGGAACCGTACACTTATTTTCGCTTTGCAAACAATACAGTACGCTTCCTCAGGGAGAAGGAGTATGAAGATATGTTACGTAAACGTTTGGTGAAAATATGGATGGTGCTTATGTTTCGTTTGTATCATATGATGCAACTGTTCTAGTATGGACCAATATTGCAAAAAGCTTATGCTTCTTATTTTCATTTATGGATGTATGCAGACGTGTTCCAAACTGTACGGGCCATCTCAGTAGCTTACAACACATGAGTCAAGAAAAGTGAAACAACATTGAGTAGAATGTCATCTATCAGTCAAATGCAACATCAAATTGCTATGCGAAAACTCATCTTTTTGTCAGTGATATGTATAACCTTCAAAACCGATTTCATCTGTTTTTTATGTGCTTTAGTGAGAATAGAATAAACACGAAGATGGAAAAATATATCGGATTGAGAAATGTAGTTGGAGAAAGACATTGTTAGGCGTTTGATCACGCATGTAGGTACTCCGCGCATATAAACGGAACAATATAGTGGATCACATCATAATTTAACCAAACATAAAACTGGTATTAAACATTGCAGTTAAAAGAATAAAAATGTGTTTTTCAATGGATTGAAAGTTACGTCGATTTTGCTTCCTATACAGAACAGACGACTAAACTGTAAAGTAAGCGTTTCAGAGAACATAAGGTTGACGGACACTCGGGGACTTCGCCTAACTGATGAGCCCCAAGATGGGGGAAACCCGTCATGGGCTGTCGAAGAGTTTTCAGCGACCTTGTGAATAGGTTTCCTTCATGAAAATAAACCTTTTGAACTTCTATCACAAACGCAGAGAAGTTCTGAGTCTCTGCTTTAAGACACTAAATTTAGAGACAATTTACATTAGCACACTAGCCAGATTCCGTTGTGAACATTCCCTTGTCGTTGTTCCCTTCAAATGTCAAATTAGATTTTCAAACTGAATGGTGATAGGCTGAGCAAACTGAAGTGGATGCTGCCTTGGTAAAGTACAGTCATTTTAACGGAATCCTTGACTAAATCTCGTTCCTTTGACAGTCTTAAAATGAACAGGCTCCCGAAAGTCTGCAATGACAAGAATATAATGATATATATGGGTGCAGTTTCTTTATTGAGTGCACTAATCTTAAGATTTCCGACAAACTATTGAAGACACTTAATCAATTTTGAGGATAGAATGTTACCTTAAAACGCCCACTGCTCTGTCATCCGCAGTACAGATAATTCACTATTTCCGCCTTTAAGGTGACTAAATCCGGACGCGGCCATTCTCAGTGTCGTTAGTTGATCCAATCTGATTGTATCCACAAATCAAGTTTCTCCACATTTGTAACTTTGGCACTCGTGTACAAATTCACGTATGTACCTCTCCAATAGTTTCTTGCCTAGTGTATTCGGAATGATGGCAAAAGTAGCAAGTTGTGACGCACCTCATTGGAGTTCTACGCCCCTCACAACAGCAAACCAGTTATACCATACCGTTGTAACTGACGTTTGTCCAAAAGCTCTAAGTTGTTCGACAAACTAGCCACTACTAGTTGTCCCACGACAAGTGTGCTAGGATTTACCACCTTAATTCCGAATTTTGTGCAATGAATTCCGTCCAATATGCCTGCTGGAAATTCACACACTGGAGTAGGGAATTATTCACTAATTTGCGGCTCGCTTCTCCCGTCTCTTGTCATACCTCGCCCTTGGATCGACTTCAGTCACCCTTGATGTGCTAACAAACTCTATTATATTATCATTCGCATGGTTTGGTGACGCGTCTCGTCTGGTTGAGAAAATCTTACCATAGTTTTGATTATAACCGGAGTATTGATGGTTCCCTGCAGGAAAAACAATTCGAAAATTAGTTAACGGTCAAAAATACGAAATGTCAAAAGGCCGAAAATACTGTGGTGGTTTTGGCTACTTGTTTTGTACCGAAAATCAAACGGTTTTTT